AAAAAAAAAAAACAAAAAAAAAAAAAACAAAAAACAGCAACATATAAAAATAGCTGGTAAGGTTGGGCGTGGTGGTGAGCCAGGAGAATTGCCATGAGTTTGAGGCCAGCCTTGACTACATATTGAGACCTGGTGTCTAACTGCTCCTCCCAAAGAAAAGCAGTAGGATTGTCTCATTTTCAAAGTAATACAAGAAAGGTTGTGATGAATTCCCAGTGTAAAAACTCTGGCTAAAAGTGGCTTTCGTGATTTCAAATATGTAAGTGAACTATCTTGATCATGAATCTTTTCCTCAAACAAGGTGGCAACTCTGCAGTCAACTGATTCTAGTAAGACATGACACACGAGTTACAATGTTCTGCCCAATGACCTGAATCACCTCCTGATCAGCTCCTTTGTTCATATAACAAGTACACCTGAAAGGTGAGGAGGAAAATGGCAGGACAAGAATTCAAATCTCAAAACAGCAAGATAATGACCTAGTCGGGAGTCTCCTAAGGCCTGAAATACAAAATCTAGGATTGTATATTTTTAAAAGAATACAAATTATAAATACAAGACTGCTGAGTTTCCAGTGCTTTGGAAATGGTTAAACAAACGAGGCACCCAAAACACAGAACTTCATGAGCTTTTTGGTAAATCTGCACCATAAATGATACCCGATTCTCAATACTGAAAACTGCAAGAGTCCGCAGATACATCGTATTGTAGATTTCTACAATAAACTGTAGGCCAAAGCTGTTAAAAGACATTTCAGTATGTTTGGAAGATTAGGTGGCTACAAATTTTAAAAACCGGGAGGTAAGTTGGTCAAAATGAACATCAAGAGACTTGGACACAACCGGGTTGTTAATGCTTTCCAATAACACAACCGGTTAGAAAAGCGCAACCTGCGCTCCAAGAAGAGAGGAATGGGAAAAGAAACCTAATAACAAGAGCAAAGGGATGGGGAAAATGGTAAAAATCTAAAGGTTGAGAATGTGTGAAAACTGTGAACGTGTAGACTGGGCAGCTAACAACACGGTCAAAAGATGCGAAGTGAGAGAGCAAAAGCAGAGAAAGAGTCAAAAACAAAAGGCCGAGCCCAGACGTGGAGGGACTAGGGCACAGCTGCACACCCACCGCATCTCTGCCCCAGCCTCCGCGCCGCAAGCCAGCGCCGCAAGCTGCGTCCCAACCTTCGCCGCCGCCCGCATCACC